TTTTTTCCTTTTTCATCGCCTAGTGAGCCAAATCTTAAAACTTAATCCACCGCTATGACTTCATGCACTCCAAACTATTCCATGTGTCTATTTATCACATCTACTTCTCCTTCGGTCTGTCTGTGCCCAATATAAATCTAAATGTCTATCTAAATCCCTTGACCGTGATCTCTCAATCTTGTTTTATTATTTCATTTTTTTTTTTACCCTTTTTCCGTGTGGCCAGACCAACTATCGCAAGTCCATTGCTTTCAAAAAATGGGCTTATCCCAATAGGTAATATGACGTGGCGGTCGTTTGTAATACAGTCGTTGAAAAAAAATTAGCAAGATTTTGCACGATTAATCTTGAAATCTAAATTGGCCATTCGTTTAGCATAAGTGACCTACCGGACGACTGTCAGGTGTCAGTGTGTTTTTTATGTGAAAACTAAAATTTCATAATTAATAATAACTGCTCTGAAAAACGCCTGCCCACTCAATCACACCACTACCATTTGTCCAAGTCTGTATGAGGGGGAGGGGGGTCAAAACTTTGCTCAACGTCGAGTATAATATAGTCCGGGTCGTTTTTCACGGTAAACACATAGTGCGCAAAGCGGCGGCAAGTCTTTTTGATGTTTTTTTCTTCTCCGTCTCGCACACAGGGTCGAGCCGTGACCGTGTTCTTGTTTATTTTCGTGCGCGCGCATTTATACAATGTAATTCTCATAATAATAACAATACACACTTGTACATCATATCGGGTGCACGCATAAAGCGCCACCGCGCCCACCGAGTGGGTTAAGTTGTTGTATGCATAAAGAGGCGATTTATTAATTATTATTGACCCCGCAAGGTACTTAGGTCGCCGCTAATTTCTCGACAATCGTATAAAAACACACATTAGTGTCACTTCCGAATATTTATTTTGAAATTTATTTCGACACAACGCGCCCGGCAAACACACCGTCTGTTTAAACGGGGATAGCGTCGACTCGTGTAGGCCGCCGACGCGACTACTCGGGTATTTATTTCTTCTTATTCTAATTTTTTTTCTTCTTCGCCACTTTATATCTTCATTTTCCTATCCGATAACGTATTATCGAGGCATAACGACCAGTTCGTACCTCGGCGATGTAGGCTGTCGATTTAGATATTATAATGTGCCGTCGGGGCAAAACAATAATCATACCGATAGTGTATATTGTGTACTATTATCAAAACCCGTTTTGTTTTTTTTTTTTATATAGTGGCGTTTGTTCGTGGACAATTCCTTTACTTTGTATATTATTGTCACCTATCTATATTCGTCAAACGGGATCTAGACAATCTCCGGCGTCTACAAATATACATAATACTGTACTGTGTGTACCTTTTTTTTATGTGTGCGGTGGAAAAATCTATACGGTTTGAATTTTTTCTGACAGACCCGGTTGTCTTCCACGACGGTCGTCTTCCTCTTGTTCGCGGATGTGTATGGTCGATGATGTACAAAAAAAAAAAACAGATCACGGCTTAAAATAGTATTATTAATGATAATTATTGATGTCCGTAGCGAATTTTCATTTTTTTTTTCTTTCACACTACACACGCGTCACTCGAGGTGCGGTGCTGATGTAAGCGCGTTGTGATATCATTTTTCTTTTTCGTGTCATACAAAATAATAATAATAGCATGTGTATAATATTATTATGGTCGACAAATAACAGTGTTGTGTACCCCTGTCGGATATAGTCGGCCAAAGCGATAATAATAATTATACCGAAAGAGAAAACGTACTCGCTCGTGTGTGTGTGTGTGTGTACATATGACACAAACACATCCGCTATGGGATGGCACGGATCTGTGTTTGTGGATTTTTGACTTTTGTGTACTTACAATACCTCTCGTTAAGCGTTCGGGGATTTTTTTTGTTTTTTTTTTTTTTTTTTGGGAAAAAAGCAATTTTTGCGATTGTGTTTGTCTTGTACACAATGTTACAAACATAATAGAAAAATAACAAACGAACATTGTCTTCTTTTTTTCGGCGGCCAATTCAGATAGGTACTTGACGTCGAGCGTACCGACTCTAAAATCCGTCGAACTGAACGTTAGATAAAACGAAAAATAAAAATACTTTCAACCCTTTTACCCCCCCCCCCACTCATCCCCTAGTCCACTCCGGCGGATCCGTGTAAAACGACTACCGCCAATTTTCCTATGGTTTCATCCGGAACAAACGCCGCGTGTGTGTGCAATGTGTGTGCGCTTATACAACATACCTCTACACATGATATTAACTTGCGGGACTCTGCCGGATGGTCTAATTTTCCACTCGAGCGGCCGCGTAAACTGTGTTGAATATTATTGTCAACCGTATCGTCATATATTATTACTATTATTATTAGGTACATTATTTTATACGGACGGGGGGTTTGAAATTAAAAAAAAAATATATAATAATATAATAAAACACTAAATTTAATGTGTGTGTGTGTAAAGTGCGTATCACGTCGAGCCGTGAATGTATATAACAATATATATATTTTGTACATAGGATCTCTGGTCGAGTAACGCCGAAATTATAATGGTAAACAATATGTTCTTAAGCGACACGACTGTGTGTACCCTTACCTATATTGTGTATAAATTACAACGCGGGGTTCGATACCATGTACTGTATTTATACAATATACATCTATATAAAACATTGTTGTGTACATAAAAACTGTAGTAAATTGTCGAAGCGGACGACAGGGCCAATGGGTCTGACCAAAAGTGTAATTTTGTTTTATATTTTTCAAATATTATGTCCTGACGGTTTTTTTTTTGAACTTGCCTTTTTCACGGGACGTGACTCGGCTTCCGTCTCTACGTGCAACCCACGCGCTATATTCGATTTGTGTGTGTGTGTGAGTATTATGATTATAATATTTACCTAAAAATATTTTCCTTTTGACGGGACGCATTAATATGTAATCTAGTTGTTCAACTCGAGGAAGTCGTCCGTACGTTTGTCACCACCGAATCAAATTAGGATCGCTGTCCGTTGCCCACCTCCTACCCTTTCTATTGTGTTTTGACATACATTGAAACTATCATCGGATACACACACTGATCATTTACACGGTCCAACCAGAGAGCGTGTAATTTAAACAGTTTTCCGCCTCGTTAATTGTTTTTACAATACAAAAAAAATGTAACGCAAGAAAGACTTATCATGTAATTTGATCGAGAACCATCTCCAAAGGCCCAACAAAACAAAATTAACCCCCTTCTCTAGTAAACATGTAATAAAAGCTATGTTTAAGATATTATGTGAGCTTTCTCGCAAGATATTTGTTGGATTTTTAACAAAAACATCTAAAAAATAACAAAAGCATTTCATTTGCACAACAAAGCTACATTTTTTACATTAAGTACACAAAAAATGTATTTCAAATGAAATAATTCAAGTACAACAATTTGATAAATTTGAACTAGAGAATAAAAAATGTATTTCTTATCCTTTATTTGCAAATTAATATCTAGTCTCCTGTATAATGTAATATAATATTGAATCAAATAATTTATAAGACACTAACATTATTCAAAAGAGTACACTGAACCGTAACTTGGCCAGTCTCACCCTCGCAGTGTTTATACAATATTATTATTATTATTATAATGTTGTACGGCCGACTTGTGAAGTTCAACACTACTATTGTTCCGATTTCGCGAGCCGGCAAATGAAATTTGAATATTTTCTCGATGGATTTAGCCAACAAACTACAAACACATCATTGTCATCAAAATGGCCAAGGCCGTCCATTCAACCTTTTGTCATCGTCTTTCCGGCTTTAAAAAAAAAAAAAATGTACTAATAATAATAACAATAATCTAACAAGTCGGTCGAGTGGGCCGCTTAAAATTTCAATCGTTTGAGAGTTTCGAATTGGTTTCTTAAACACAATTGAACATTGTTATATTATGTCGCGGGACTACATTATAGTAGAGCGTGGGCTCAACTCTAGTGTTTACCCGTGTCCGCGTAAAACAATGGCGACCGTTTGTACCTATGTATATTGTCGATGATGGTATGTGTGTGTGTGTGTGTGTATGCGTTTAATATAATAAGTAATAACAATATTTACCGTGTAACTTGTAAGTATGGAGAAAACAAAATTCGCGGACCGAGAAGACGACCCACGTGCGTTCGACTGTGTGTTAATTTTCGAACTCGGCCGAATATTGTACCTCATTGTCGACCAATTAAAACAGAAACTCTACTCTCCCGGGTCGAACGTGGGAAGCCAAATATTGTTATTTTGCCTATACCTATACTCGTGCTGTGCGTATACTATTTTTGAGTACTCTTGATAATTATGTCGGCGTACAATAGCGGAGTTTTCGAAAGTCGACCGATTGTCCTGCTCATTTTTTTGTATTTTTTTTGGATTGCCAACCGTTATTGTAATGCAGACAGCTAAACCTGTGGAACGGCTCTGGCTCGGATGCACAGACAGGAAAGGAACACGTCTATAGGGTTTTCAATTTTTTTTTTATTATTATAATTTTCATAATGTGCAAAGCTAAGAAAAGTTACTTTTTTTTATTTAAACTAACTAAAATTAATAAAAAAAAAAACCCACAAGAACCAAAATACACCTGTATTCTAAAGTTGGATTTTAACCCTACACCATACAATACATTGTATCATCCACGATACAACCACAGTATAAAACACTATGTACACTTGATATATTAGTTAATTTGTTTGCACATTAATTGCATTTATTTGTGCGGCGTAGGCTCAAAACGACGACATAGTAACAGTTACCACTGGTTGAAAATAAATAATTTCCATATGCATGTGTATATAATGACGATTGAATTACTGTTGACCATACCAAAACGGCTACTTTGTTGAATAACGACTATAGGTACGGTTACGGTTACTTGTTACAATATTATTGTTGGTAATCGGTAATCAGAGTACACGTTGCCCAACACCGCGATGACGCAGTTGTTCATGTCCGTGTGGTTTTTTTTCTGTTACAGGCGAAAAACCGTACAGGTGCACATGGTCGGCGTGCGAGTGGAGCTTCGCCCGGTCCGACGAGCTGACCAGACACTACAGGAAGCACACGGGCGACAAACCGTTCAGGTGCGAAGTTTGCGAACGGTGCTTCGCCCGGTCCGACCACTTGGCGTTGCACAAGAAACGCCATCAACCCAAAAGCGTGCAACAGCACCAGCAGCTGGAGCTTCCCATGGTGGCCGCCGCCGTCAAAGCCGCCGTCGACCCGCAACATCAGCTGGGACAACTCCAACACCATCAGCAGCAGCAGCAACAACAACAACAACAACAACAACAACAACACCACAACCACAACCCCCATCAGCAACAACAACAACAACAACAACAACAACTACAACAGCAACAGCAAAAACACACAATGATGATGCAGCTGAACGGTGGCGTAGCTTCCGTCGGTGACGCGTCCGTCAGGCAAATGGTTCCGGTTTGATGTGTAATATGTTTCCTATGGGCTGTGTTTCTTTTTTCGGGTTAACCGAATCAAACTTAATGTAAAAAAAAAAAAGAAAAAATAAGAAGAAGAAGAAGAATAAACACTCGAGTCGGCGTTTCCGTTTCCGGGCGACAAGTGTTTTGTCGTTTTTGGTTATTTTTTTTTTTTTTTGTTGTTGATTTCTGCACTGGGGCTTTTGACCCGCCGCGCCGTTTTCGGTCTGCATACAATATACAGGAATTTTTCGTCGACAATGACACCTTAACGAACGGCCATTGTGCGGTGTATATTTATATTTATATATATATAGTGTGAAAAAAGTTATTATTATCATTACCAAGCGTAATGGCGAGAGGAAACAAAAAGAACGGATAAGCGACGGGCAACAAAAAAAAAAAAAAAAAAAAAACGGCTTCGGGGCGACCTCGTCCGTTCGGGTCAACTCCAGCACACAAGCGTTCCTATTCAATTTCTTGGAGTACATAATATACATGTATAATACACAGTAGTAGGTATACTAGCATGATATAGTGTAGAAAATAGTAATAGTGGTAGTACAAGTAGTAATATGGAATATTAATAAATAATACACATAGTACTCGCACAATACACTATGTTCAAGTAGGTTTTATTCATATTATTATTATTATATAAATACTTATTAGCGACCGGTTGTCTGTAATATGGTGGCCCCACAAGCTATATTATTATATTATATTATATTTATTGTCCAAACGATAATAACATGTAACAAGAAAATATGTCTCCTATTATTATTATTATATTTAATCGTCATCTCCGCGTGTGATTAATGAACACTTTACATTATGTACACTTAACGCAGCGCACAATGCCAAGCTGATTAATAACGGATCGCCACCAGATATAGCAAACCTAAATATTATGTACATCTATAACAATCTATTACTCACCTCGCTCTAGTGTTAAATGTCCTTTTGAGTCATCTTGAAAAATATCTACTAATGCGATTCTTAGCCTACACGCATATCGTTTCCTATGTGTATAATAATATTATAGTATAATATTTTAGTTATTGTGTATGCGTTTTGTATTATTAAAACATTTTTTTTTTCTCGATATTTTTGTTGCAAAAATAATTCATATCGAGCCAGTACATAAATAATTTATATTATTGTAAAAAAAAAACCCACATTAATATTCGAAGCCAAATCGAACGGGAAAAGCTTTATTCCGTTACATTACTACTTTTGGTTTTTATTTTCACAAGTTGTTCAATTTTGTATTTATATTATTATTATTATTGTTTGCCAGAATACCAATAGTTGATAGTGTCGGCCCTTACCGTCGACGTTAGATGTAAAAATAAAAAACAAATGTCTACAATATGTTAGTTGTTAGTAATTTCAGAGTATTATATGTACATAATATTATTATAATACGATAGCTTTAGAGAAACACACATTTCCTCATAATGTAAATAGTAATTATTATAATTTTGTAATATACCTATGTAGGTTATCATTAACGGCGAAACCGTATTATATATTATGAAAAATGTTTTTGTACAATTTGTTATTTTGTTAGAGTTTTTAAAACCCCACTATAGGTATTATTAACTTTACTGTAAAGTGCATATAACATGGGCACTCGCCTTCGCCATCTTGCTCTCCACCAACAACATGTTTCACTCTTTTTGTAACGTTTCGTCTGTTTGTTATTTTTTTAATTGTTTTCCAAATTCGATTTTTATTTTATTAATATTGTTTTCGTATACTTTTTTTTCTAAACCGTTTTACCGTTTTATGACGATGCACTATGAACATAATATTATATTACAGTACTAATAGTTTATTGTGTAGAGCACTCGAAGTACACTTATTAGAATTTTTGTCTCTTACCTGTTTTCAACGCGAATGCTAAGAGAATAAATAAACCAAAGATCGTCTCCGAGCAAACAATCAGAATCAAAGTAATAGTTTATTATATATATTTTTTTTTTTTTAATAGAATAGCGAACCACAGTCGTCTGATCTCATTATTCAAAACCAAAATCCATTTACAAAAGCGATTTTGTGTATGTTGAAACAATATAATTATTATTTTTTAATAATAACATATCATAATAACATTTTATACGCAGTTATTATTAATATATAAATATATATATATATTTTTTTATTCGTTTCATAAAACCCAAACTTTCAGATAAATTAGTATTCCGTTATAACGATACAATATGTTGTTAGTGACAAAAGTATATACCTATATATAATATATATTATATATTTATAAAAAACTTGTATTACTTTTAAGGCATTACGTTTAGAAATTGTACAAAATTCAAATTTAAGTCGCCTAAATTATTATTATTATTATTTTGTTAGAATTAATTTTTTTTATAATCCTTATTTGTTTTTTGTTAAGATGATGTCGCCGGGGGCGTTTTAAACGCTTCCCAAATACCTATTTAGCGAATATAAAAAATCTATTTGTTCTAAACTTTTCTTATAATTATTAACCTGTTCCTTTAGTGCCTATTAAGTGATACTTGATCATTTTTTCCCCTATCAATTAGCAGTCGAGGGTTACACCACTTTTAGTTGGACACAGATCATCGAATAAAATAATGACTGTGATTTGTAGTCTCTTCCTCCGATGTTGGGTCATTTATTGAAAATCAAAACGTTTGAATTACAGTAAGTAAACATTTTCTATAAAAAAATATACATTGAAAACAGTGCAATATAATCGTATCAAACTTGAGTTTGCTAAAAAATAAACAACACTTAATACTTATCTTTTTATAGAACTTAATATAACTTTAGTAGTACTGGTTAGCTGCATTATTAATTACAACGTATAAGGCCAAGGTCCAAGATCAGCAAACGATTTCAGTTTTAATTTTAATTTTTAATGTTACATAATTTATTGAACTAGTATAAAATAATCCAAAACAAACCACGTCACAACCTTTTTTGCGTCACGTTTTTGAATTGTAGTTCAGCAACTAGTTATTTTGTGTATATCATATTATCATACTATTATGATTACCATATTGATTATATAAGTATACTGCACATATTTATAGTCTTCAGAATAACAGACAATGACTAATATTTACCATAATCATAGGTCATCCATGTATATATTATATATATAGGCATTATATTAAGTTACGGTGAGGGAAAAGGGGACTGAATAATATAAATACGTGCAATTGTTCAATAGAGTTAAATTTCTAGAAAACCTAATCCGAAGACTCATTATGGCACCTTGACAATGTTTATTGTTACTTCCCTTTAGTAGTATTTTGATAATGTTAGTATTTTATAAATATTATCAATATTGTCCTAACAAAAATGGGCAGTATTTCAAATAATTGATGATAAGAGATGGAAGTTTTCTTATAGTTTTTAACGGACTGAAAATGTGATTGGAAAAAATCTGTTGTTCCGCATAAGTAAAATATACTAAAAAAAAAAAAAAAATTAGTCGCTATTCTTAAAACGTATAAAAAATAACTATTACCTATTTACAAGGCGATTCATTGAGGAAAAGACACTCATTTTGTTGTGAAAAAATTTCAATTTTGTAGTTTTTCTTTTTGGAGACCCTTTATAGTTCAAAATTTAAACGGTAACTTGTACAGTTAGTATCATCTTCATATGGTTGTTTTATTGACATATTTTACTAAGTATATTTTTTTGATTCAAATTAAACTTTTCATTCAAAATGTACATAAAACTTGTATTTTATTTCAAACTTAACATCTTTAAATACATATCGTATTTTATTTTTATAAATTAATGTTCAAATGCTAAAATCCTCGCACCCTCCTTCCAAAAAATATATAATTTTATGAGTAACATTACAAACAATCCATTGTGTATTTTGCGTTACATACGCAAAAAAAAAAACAACACAAAACTCAAAAATGCATTCAAGTTTTTGGATTTTTGGATTATTCGTTATAGCAGTCCGAAAAATATTAGAAAAAATAATGATACTGTGATAGGCCCGAGTTTGGTTTTGTTTTATGCCAAGCGCCGTAGCACGTTCCTCGGTCACACTCGACTCCGAAAAGTGTAGTACTTAAAAATTCTCTCGGTTTTTAACGACCCACCCCGACCCCAAACGTGTGTTTTACGCGGTTTATCAACCCCCGACGACGCGTTTTTATTATGTGCAAACTACTACATACAATATAAGCATATGCGGGGTACCTAATAAAAATTCACTCGCACTCCACCTCGCTCTTCCTTGTCCGGTTTGTACAACTACTATTATTATTATTATTATTATTATAATTACGGTTTTATGGGTTTTATTTTTTATTTTTATGTCTACCACAGGAAACGTCCGACGCGAGTTTTTCCTTCTTCTGGTTAACGATAATTTAATGGCCACCGCCGGTGCATATCGATACGACGTCGGTAAAGTGAAATTTATTTATTTATTATTACTATTACTATTATTATTTTTTCTTTTTTCTCTGTTTTTAACGTCGTCAATGAATTACGACCCGTACACGCTTGTTATTATTATTATTATTATTATTACATACAGTCTTTTCATTTCGGTCCATACACCACCACCACCGCTGTATATACTGTTTGCGGCCACCGGGTTTCCTTGTTCCTAATCGGTCGCCCGTCAAATTGGAAAACGCTTCTTCTATTCTATTCCATTTTTTTTTCTCCTCGACAAATTGCATTTTCACTCGTCCTGTGTTACTCACAGCTGTTTAGAACATTACCGTGATCATCACAACGTTGTTGCACTTATTCGACCGAATGATTTATACTCACCACCATGTATCTAAGGACCTCTGCTGATCGTTTTCGGCTATCGTTAGAATTTTGGGTTATTTTTTTATTTATGTGGTATGACGTCTCGAGTATAGGGCTACAATAGTATTGAAATGTGTTTTAAAGTTAAGTTTTCAAACGGTTTTGTAAAATGTTGAAAGTATTCTTCTTGCTGATGATAATAAAATTAACATATTAATACTATTAACAACACTAATTCTTCTTTATATATAAATAATAACGATAATGTGTTATGAAATGGGACAATCATTTTAATGATACATTTTTAATGAAAAACTGACGTTTTACTGTCGTTGCTATTATATTAACTTTTAAATAATTAATCGAAAGCATTAAAAAAATATTATTATAATATTTTCCAATCGACATGGACATTCCTCTCATTGATCTCAGCATTGTCATTTCGGCCACTTTCTTCATTCAAAATCATAAATTTCATTCAGAGCCCAACTCTCATTTGCATACCTGCCTAATAACCACTTTTGTAATTTCATTATACTTTATCCAACTGCACTTTTGCACTCTTCAATTATTCCTCCATTCCTTTGCACAATACTAATATCGGTGAATACTAAAATTTCTCTATTCTATTTATCATTCATGTGCCAAGCATAACATTCTTGTTCAAGTGTTACTCATAAAATCGTCGTTATTAAATTTAATGTTTATTAAAATATAAATGTATTTGATTTATTCTATTTTAGACCCACTTACTCTTGTTAGCGTCAAGCTATTATTTTAGGACGCCTCCTTCCGTTACTTTAATTTAACTCATCAATTTGGCAAATGTCAAGAACAACATTATTATGGATTATGATACTAGATAGTAGATTTTGAGTAGATATTTTTCGAGTGCTACACGGAACTAAGTACCAACAACCGACACGCAGTAAATATAATCTAGGAAGATGCGTTTGTATATAATATTTATAGCACACATCATGGTGGCACAGTAAAATATAACAATGAACGTGTGTACCGGAGAATAGTAATATTATTATTTTCAACGTTAATGATACGCCCCCGTAACGTTATCTCCGGCCGTTGTTATCATCAATATTGATCTGTATATAGTCTGTACTGCGAGTTTTCGATGCCATTGACTTACAGTATAATGTGACCCGTGTCGTAGAATGTAGGTGGTAAACGCGATGATAAACCTGTTGGTTAATAAGAATAAGTAACAATAATTGTGCTCCGGTCGTGTCACTAATGGTTTGTGTCCAAGTGGATACCAACGTGCATTCAACGACAAATGGATTAATAATAAATGGTCTACATAATAATACATAAATTATTATTATAATAATGCTTTCGGTAGGTATTCGAGGTGTACCTACCTACTATATAATTTATTAATAGCCAGAAGGAATAATATTTAGCAATGTGTATAGAGTATGATTTCAATCGTGTATTGAAAATTAAAAAGCTATTGGTTTAAAAAAAAAAACTAGAATTTATGCACGGTTAAGGGGGTTAATAATTGGGAACGGCGATTTTCTGTTTCTGTCCATCACGCGTTCAAGAAACACACATAGAAATGCAGATTGGAAATGTCATACAGCGTCTCGGCTAAGTCCTTAACATCCCTAAAACATGTTGTTTAAAAAACATTTTGAAAGTATTTCATTGTTTTTCTTATTCTTATTATGTAGACATTTGTTTCTTAAAAATTGTATAAATGATCTACACTGTTTCTAGCCAAATGGAGTTTTCAGATGTTATGTGAACCCAGAAACGGTACTGATGACAAAACAGATAACATCATTATAGGCATTGTGTTTTAGGTTTGAAAAATGAAATAATAGAATATGGCACCGACGAGATTTCGGTAATGTAATTCCCCGAATGCGCTTGTTAACCCTGTCGTGAACACACACAATACTTAAGTCGGCCAACCTTTTTTTAAATTTTTTTTTTTTTTTTTTAATGCGATTCGGTGGAAACCGAATAAACGGTTCCGACTCATTAACGGACGACTAGAAATTAATACAGGATGTCGACTAATATCCAAACGGTGTTGTTGTCGTCGAGAAATGCGACACTACGGTATAATACGTTTTTTTTTTTTTTTGGGGGTATTCCAAAAATCGTAAATCACATTAGAAAACTAGTCGTAAAGTAGTTAAGTGCGATCGTACATAAACAACGGTCATGGCCGTGTGCTCTTAGATATATTATAAATTCAAATAATAGATATTTCGGGTTAAACAGTCTTATAGTAGGTAATCTATACTATACGAGTGTGTTAAAAATTAATATTTTTTAAATGTTACGAAACTGTATTACAATATTATTGTAATGATTTCGTGCACTTATCAAGGTAATATCTTCTTTTTTTAAAAATGTTTTTTTGTGTGACGAACGAGATACTATCTAAAAGCACATTAAGTA